ATGCTCTATGTGGACAATGGCAGAGCGCTCCTAGATCACCATAAGGACATGATCGTGGAAGAATATGGGTGCCTCTGATGAGATCTTGGAGGGAGACTGGATTTGCCTGCACTCTGGAAGGCTGGGAAGCTCCTGGAAGACATGATAACCATCTAATACAGTAAGGAGACAAGAGAGGCAAAGTTGCTCTGCCTACCAGAACTGAAGAGACAGGGCTGCCCACTCTGTAAATGAAGGCTCAGTGGAGTCTGGCCAAGCACAGAGGCTGCTGTCAGGAAGAGGGGGAAGAAGCCTGTGCAGGGGGCTTGCTGGGTGCTCTCTACTGAAAACACAGTGGCAAGTAAAAGCACGAGTGCATGAGTTCTTTACCGGGTTTTTAAAACACCTGCGACCCTCCTGAAATTGTATGTGAAAGTTGAGACGTATGTGCCTGTGTTTTGGAGGTGGGATGAGGTGACCTATAGCTTTCATGTATTCTCCAAAGTAGTCTGTGTGTGACCCGTCCCCTTTCCCAAAGATTAAGGATCACTGTATAGATTAAAAAGAGTCCATCAGTCTCATTGCCTCGGGCTGGGCTGGGCTGGGGAAGCCCCACAGCTTTCTGGCTGGGCCAATGGCAATCTACTGGCCTTATCCAGAGGCTCTTTGGAGTGGGTCTCTGCTAATGAGCTGTGTAACAATAAAGTCATTGTCTAGTTAAAAAAAAAAATATGCTGCATGGCTGAGCTGGTGGCTGGGGCAAGGCATGGGGCTCACGCTGGCCAAGGACAACCTCAGACAGGCCAGGGTCGAAGGCCAGCTCTTCACACCCCATCATGGACAGGCCAGGCTGTCCCATCACCCTCTGTCGTGGATAGCACCCCCCAAAGGATGGGGTCCTGGAGCCAGTCTGAAAAGGCAGGAGGGCAGACGTCGAGAGAGGGGAAGCCCCCAGAGGCCAGGTGCAACTGCGGAGCGGGAAAGAGGGGGTGGTGGGAGACACCTGCACTGGGCCGTGGGCTTGGGCCCAAAGGCAGGTGCTGGCTCTGTGGGGCTGTGCAGGCCTCTCCCGGTCTCCCATGGCTCTGCCAGGCCCACTGTTCTTCTAGATCCACCCGCGAACCTCCCAAGCGGCTCACACATAGCGGGCCTGATACCCAACTCCCACCTTCCTCTGGAAATCTCTCCTCCCAGAGCCTCTACCTTGGCCTGGGGGTCCTGCTTACCTCACTTCCCAGCTGGTGACCCGGCTGCTCCCTCTGTATGCCTTGTCTCCTCTTCCCACCCCCATTGCCCAGCATTGCCCCCAGTTTTAGCCTGGACCCTGAAATGGTGCGTTCTGGCTCTCCCAGGGAGCAGGTCCTCTCTCCAGCTCCTCACTCTGACCACATCCGTCTCCACCAGAGCCCACAGCTCACCAGGCCCGGGACTCCCAGTGTGATCCTTGCTCACCCGGCCTGGTGGGCTCCTGCATCCCCAGAGCTGCCCAGTGTGGCTTCTCTTCCTGGCCCCACCTAGGGCCTTGGTGTGGGCAGGACGCGCCCTTCCTTGGGGCTCCCGGAGACCCCCACGCATTCCTCTGCCTGGGTGGCCATGGGAGGCTCTGAGCAATGTCCTGCACCTCCTTCCTGCCTGGCAGGGTGCCTGGCACAAGGATGGCCTCAGTGAAATGTGGGCTGTGTAAGTTCGCAGAGTTGACCCTGGCTGCCCGGGTCTTAAGCTGCGAGAGTCGTGGCTGCTTTAGACGGGGAGGCTTTGAGGCTGTCCCTCTGTGCAGGTGTCTCCCACCTCCAGCTCTCCACCCTACCCAACCACGGCTGCACCTGGCCTCCGGGGGCTTCCCTCTCTTGATATCTGCCCCTCTGCCTTTGAGGACTGGCTCCAGGACCCCATCCTCTGTTGAGAGGGTGCTAATCATGACGGACGGTGCTATTCGTGACGGATGGTGATGGGACAGCCTGTCCTGTCCTGTCCTGTCCTGTCCAGGATGGAGTGCAGGGAGCTGCTCTTTGACCCTGGCCTGTCTGCTTTGCCAGCGCCTGGGATTTCCCCCCGTGGCCCTGCTGTAGTCATGGAGCTACTTGTATACATCATGGGTTGCCCATCCCCCCAACACAGCCCTCAGGAAGGGGGACCATCTGCCTTGTCCATCCGACTACAGCCCCCAGTGTGGGACATGGCTTGTAGCAGGTGCACAAAAATACTTGTTGAACAAATGAATGAAAAAGGCTCTTTGGCTCCTGGTGTGGTCTGCTGTGCTGTGCCTCAGTGTCCCCATCTGAATGTGGATAGTAATGCATTTGCTGTGAGAACTGCACCAGATAATCCACGTGCAGAGTTTAACCCAGCGCCTGGGCCACAGCATTCGACAGACGGGCGTGGGTCTGGTATTGTTCTGCCACAACCACGAGGCATGCCATGGGCCACCGCTCATGTGGCCAACTGTGCCAGGTCCTTGCTGGGTTGTGGTCTCCACCAGGCCCAGAGGAGGCTCCCAGGTGAGGCACTCTGAGGCAGCAGGGAGCTTCCTTCGAAAGCGGGGGCATCGTGCCCATGGGCCAAGTGAGGATGATCCTCCCTGGGATGGGCTCTGGCTCAGGGCACAGGCTTGGGATGGGCATGGCCTCTACCCTGTGGGCTGCCCTGTCCCCACACCAGCACTGTGCTGCTCCGTGCAGACTGACTTGGCACTGGGCGTGCTGGGATAGGCCTTGCTGTGCTTCCTCACTGGGCTGCACTCCTCCTGAAAGGAAGACAAATGAGTTTTAATTTGTTCCAACTTGACACAAAAACCCCCCTGGAGAAACTGGGTCACCAAACACAGAAACTGTCAGCTGGCTGCACCCCGCAGTCCTTTCCCACCAACAGGCCCTGGTTCTTTCTGACCACATGGGGTCCTGGGGGTGGTCCCTCTGGACCCCAGGCCCATGCTCAGAGTTCCAGAAGTGAAGGGGCCTTGGGGAGACCCAGAGCAGCCTAGGAACAGAATTCTGCACCTCAAAGCAATAAGGGGCCTCAGGGAGTTCTGTTCTCCACCCCAACACCTTTGAGAAGCTAAGGATTCGGTCCAGAGAAAGGAAGGGACTTGCCTAGGGTCACCCAGTGCAACCAAGGTGAGACCAGCACGAAGCCCTCTGACACCTAGTGCGGTGGATGTTGGGAAGGGTGGCTTGTGCTCCAGCCTCAGTCCTGCGGGCACTGCCTGTGTCTCACTCTCTGCCAGGTGCTGACACCTCTCTGGTGGTGCCTTGTCCTGTAAATTGTGGAGAGCACACCTACCTTCCAGGCGTGTGCATGCTAAGGCAGCTGTCCCCAAGCTTTATAGCACCAGGGATAGGTTTTTGTGGAGGACAGTTTTTCCATGGACGGGGTGGGGGATGGTTTCAGCATGAACCTGTTCCACCTCAGATCATCAGGCTTTAAGACTCTCACCAGGAGCTGGCAACCCAGACCCCTCGCACATGCAGGTCATGATAGGGTTCTTGCTCCTATGAGAATCTAACGCCGCTGATCTGACAGGAGATGGAGCTCAGGAGGTCATGCTGGTTCAGCCGCTGCTCACCTCCTACTGTGTGTCCCGGTTCCTAACAGGCCATGGACAAGTACCTTTCTGCGGCCTGGGGTTTGGGGTCCCCTGCATTAGGGGAGTTCACGTGTCTCAGGTGTCCACAGGCTTCTGGAGGTGGGCTCAGAGTGCTGGCAGGTCCTCAAGTTTCCCTCCCATCTCCCAGAGTCTCTCCCACCTCCCAGATTCCAGGCACATTCAGGGTTCAAGACTTGGAGTGTCCAGTTTCATCAGGTGGACACTCAAGTCCCCTCAGATCAGTGTGTCAAGCCTCAGCAAGTGACCCCAAGGTCACTGCGTTTGTGGAAGGGACCTTGTCCCACTGCCTGGAGCGGGCCTGAGACTGGGGCAGGCTCAGCCACTCTGGGCTGTGCACTCTTGACCAAGGCAGTTTCCTCATCTTCCTTAACACATTGAGCCTCAGTTTCTCCATCTGTAATGGAGGAGATGGAGGCCTAACTAACAGCCTTGCGTGGGGCTTGTGGGGGCATGTGAAGCGTCCTGGAGCCCGCCGACTCCAGGAGGCTGGGGCTATGGTGACGGCCAAGCCTGCCGAGGGTGGTTCTGAGCAGCCCTGAATTGGAGATTTTTGGAATTAATGACATTTGGGTCTTTGACTTTTGCTTGGTGAAGGGAGAGGACAAGTGGAGGCTGCAGAGGCTCAAGTGAGTCACCCCAGGCAGGGACACCACCTGCTCTGGGCTCAGGGGTTTTTCCAACCCTGTAGATTTTCTGTGGGCAGGGTTGCTCCAGGGCTCTCGCCAAATTAGGAGACACTTTATGGGGAAGGTGACAGGGCCAGGGCTGGAAGCAGCTCACGCTGGGATTTCTGTCTCTGATGAGATTTCCTTGGTCAGCACCTTATTGAAGACAGGGCTGCTAGGACTCCAGGGCTGTGCACTCAGGCTTAATTACTCCTGCTCTTGGCAATGCTCAGCGCCTGTCTTGCTTGTCTGTGCTTGTCCTTAGGCCTCTCACCTTGGCTCCAGGCCCAGGCCCCGCCTCTGTGTATGTCCTCCTCCTCTGCACAGTACACAGTCCCTCTGCTTATGTGATAAGCATCCATCCACCTGTCCATTCACTCTCCATCCCATCTATCCACTATCCATCCACCATCCATCCATCATCTATCTACCATCCATCCATCCATCCATCCACCCACCCATCCATCCATCCACCATCCATCCATCCACCCATCCATCCATCCATCCATCCATCCACCCACCCACCCATCCATCCATTCACTCGTGCATGCATACACGCACCAACCTACCTTTCTATCCATCCATCCACCACCCATCCACCCTTCTATCCATCCATCTGCCACCTGTTCACCCACTCGTCCACACACCCATCCATCCACCACCCATCCATGCACCCATCCAAGCATCCATTCACTTGTGCATGCATACATACTTCCACCCACATTTCTATCCATCCATCTACCCACCACTCATTCATCCATTCACTCACTCATCCACCTTTCATCCATCCATCCACCATTCATCCACCATCCACCCACCCATCCTACCACCCATCAATCCATCCACTCACCCATACATCCACCACACACTCATCTATCTATCCATCCATTCATCCATCCATCCACCCTTCCATTTATCCATCCACACACCCATTCATCCACCCTTCCATCCATCCACCCACCCATCTATCCACCACACATCCATCCATCTACCCACTCATCCATCCACTCATCCATCCATCCTCCATTCACTTATCCCTCACCTGTCCATTCATTCACCCATGCATGCATACATGCCTCCACCCTTCTATCCACCCATCCATCCATCCGCCCACTCATCCACAGTTGCATCCCCTCATTCTATGCATTTTCCTTGAACAACTCAAACACACCAGTCTAGAGCTTGGAGTGGGGAGGAAAAGATTAGAAGGGAAAGAGCCAGGCCCAGTTTCTGCCTTCTGGGGTGACAGACAAGCCAAGTGGCTGCACCTGTCCACATGGAGAAGGGTTAGCTGGCAGCAGCACTGAGTGCTAAGAGGGCCAGGGAGGTTGTGTCCCGTGAAGGAGTGGGGCTTCCTAGGACAGACAGTATAGCTGAGATACTGGAGGCATTGTCTCCTGGGCCACACTAGTTCAGCCCACGTGTCTTTTGATATGGTGTGGAGGAGACAGCACAAATGTCCGTGTTGACAACCCACGCAGGGGTGGTGCCGCCAGCCTGCCCACGAGCCATCTGCTGGGTTCCTTCCCTTTCCTGAGCATGCTGGAGCCGTGGGCTGCCGCGCTCCCTGCACCGTGGGCAGATGCACGTGGGCCTTGGGCTCCTGCCCCACAAGGCACCCAGCAGGTTTGCATCCTGATGGAGAAGGGGCGGCCTGGTATGGTCAGTGGGACCTGGGGCGCTCCTCCCAGGGGCACAGTACCTGACAGTTCAGGAGGTGCTTCTGTCTTCAGGGTTTTGTTCAGTTCCTGTGACCATCCATCCTGGGAGGGGCAAGGCAGGGCCCCTTGCTGCCTCCTAGAAGTGAAGACTGGGGCCCAGGTGCCAGTGACTGTGCATGGCATGAGCCTGCAGAGCTGGGCAGGGCAGGGCTTTGAGTTCTGTGTGCTTCAACCCCTCCTCCGAGGGAGCAGTAATGGTGCAGTGGGAGGGCACAGGCTCCAGAGGTGATGGCAGTGGTGCCCTGTGGGTGTGGTTTCCACCCACGCAGGGCCAGGATTAAGTACTTGGTGTATGGGGGTAGGCAGAACGGTGGAGGGCAGTGCCCTGGACGCTGCAATGGTGCCTCTGGCCAGGCTGTTTACTTTGGCAAACAGTACTTGTGTGTATGTGTGTCTGTGTGAGTGTGTTCTTAGAATACATGCCATCCCTCCTGTCCTTGGGAAGGCATTCATCTGGGCACCTGCTAATGAGCTGGAGACTCAGTTGTTCGCTGTACACACTCTTGAGCTCCCGTGTTGGGCTTGGCCCTGTGCCTATGGGGAGTCAGTCTCAGGTCTGTCCTCATAGGCACTCTTGACCTTTGTGGCGGGACCACCCTTGGTTGTGAAGGGCCGGCCTGAGCAGCATCCCGGCCTGAGCATCACGCCAGCCTGAGCGGCATCCCGGCCTGAGCATCACGCCAGCCTGAGCGGCATCCCGGCCTGAGCATCACGCCAGCCTGAGCGGCATCCCGGCCTGAGCAGCATCCCCGGCCTGAGCGGCATCCCGGCCCGAGTGGCATCCCCAGCCTGAGCGGCATCCCCGGCCTGAGTGGCATCCCCAGCTTGAGCATCGCGCCAGCCTGAGTGGCATCCCGGCCTGAGCAGCATCCCGGCCTGAGCAGCATCCCAGCCCGAGTGGCATCCCCGGCCTGAGTGGCATCCCCGGCCTGAGCGGCATCCCCGGCTTGAGCATCGCACCAGCCTGAGCGGCATACTGGCCTGAGCAGCATCCCCGGCCTGAGCAGCATCCCTGGCCTCTGCCCCCTTAATGCAGCTGCTCCCTCCGCCCAGGCATTGGCGGCTGTAGAGCAGACCCTCTGCTGCGCTCCTGGTGCTTGTGGATGGGGACAGAGGAGAAATGGGACGAGTGTGCTGAGGGTGGTGCCCACAAAGATGGGGAGCCCCAGAGGCAGCAGGGTGCCCTTGGGGTACAGGAGAGTCATGGGGGGAGGCGGCTTCTCAGCTGAAACCAGAGGCCTCACAAGAGGCATTCAGATGAGGAGACAGGGGACGGGCATCCCAAGCCCAGGAGGCAGGCGAGTGGGCACGGGGTGGGGGCCAGGTTGGGTGTGGGGGCCGGGAGGGGGCCCAGCCAGTCCCAGAGCAGAGGGCAGGAGTGGCCATGGGAGGCCCCTTTGTGGTCTGGGCCCTGCTCTGGCTGGTGATGGGCTGTGTGGGAAGTGGGGGCAGGGGCCAGGGTCTCGGGCATCTGGGAGGAGAAGGGGCTTTGCAGAGCTGGGGAGCTGGGGTGTCAGGCAGGGCAGGCTGTGCCCAGGGCACCTGGTCACCCTGACTCAGCTTTCTTACCTCTTTCCCTTGCTTTCCTGCCCGCTCCAGGTCTGTGCTCTTGGAAGTGCCAGCTCCGGCTTCTGGCAGGATGAGAGCTGAGCGATTGGGAGCTTCCGTGGTGGGCAGATCAGAGAGCAATAATTAGAGGCTTAGGCTCACGGCTGCATGAAGAGGCACACAGGGCCTCCGCAGAGAAGGTGGTTAGTCACCGGCCTCACTGCCCTGGCCTGGTCTGGCTGACCCGGGTGAGAACCTGGCCATGCCCATCTGGCCCCAACTCTGTGGGTGGGCGGCAGGGCAGGCTCTCCCCACTGGGGCTGGGCAGTTGGGCCAGCCAGGCCTCACCAGCACATGGATGCTTCCCTCTTCCCTACTGAAGAGCTTGTGGGGTGGAGGGGGCATCCCGCTCTCCCCTCTCCTTGTGGAGGGAGGCTCCATCGGCTGCAGGTCCTCCCTGCGGGACACTTCCTGGCCCCTCTGCTGGCCAGGCTCCTCCTGTTCCTAGGCTGTGCCCCCTCTCCTGGCCCCTGTGGTCCTGATGTTCCAGGCTGGAATTGTCTATTTCTAAGGGCTGTCTGAGAGGAGAAAGGGCAGGGCCAGAGAACTGGCATTAACAATGGGACCCTGGAGACAATGGAAAATCCACACCCTCCAGTGTGTCGGGGACAAGATTTCCTAACACATGCGCACCCAGCCTTCCCTCCCAGGATGGCCCATGGGCTCTGCCATCTGTGGGGAGTTTTGGGCTTGGCAGCCTGGTTCCTGGTGAGTGAGAGGGTGTGGGGAGAGGGCAGGAGAGGTGGGAAGAAGGCAGGAGGCTGGCTGCTGGCGTGGGGGCCAGGCTCTCAGACTCCTAGTGTCACAAAGTGCCTGGGTGAGGGCACAGAGGCCACGAAAGAACACAAGGCTGAACTCCCAAGGGCTGAGAGAGCGGGCAGCGGGAACTCTGGCTCGGGCAGGGAGATTCTGAGCGTTCTGAGGGCTTTGTGAAGTGTCTCTGTGCTCCGTGAATCAAGTGGATTCAATCTTTTTAAAGAAGCCTAAGTAAAGACAAGGATTTCTTTTATTAGTGCATGTGGGTGGCTGGACTGTGGGTCCTTGAACTGGACGCTGGCAGACCCTGGGATAGATTCAGGTTGCATAAAGAAGTCATAGAGAAAGGAGAGCCCAGGCACCCATGGTCTGCTCCCAGCATCCTGAGGCAGGAGTTTGGCTTTGGGAGGCCCCGGCGCAGCCACCTGGAGGAAGGGAGCTGGTGTGGATGTCCTCGGTGATGCCCTTTGCTGGTGGAGTGGGCGTCTCACGGATGTCTGGTCTCTTGCAGTGTGATGTTGTGTACAGCGCCTGTGAGACACAGAGGTGGGACTCAGACACCCACGGGGCCTGAGGCTTCGGGGGCTCAGATTCGGGGTTGAGCCCCTTTGACAGGGTTCTTTGAGGGGCAGGGGCCCCCCGACCTCTCGATCATACCACACTGGGCAGAGCACTTCATAGGTGACACACCTTCTCCCCACCTCCAGAGGTGCCCAGGAGGAAGCTACCTATTCATGCTGCAATGCTGGAGAGCTGGTGAGTCCGGTGGGACTCCCTCACCCACCTGCATCAGACCCTGACACCCTGCGGGACCCCTGGCTTAGTCCCCATATTCCTACCCCTCTGATTGCCACAGCAAAGCCCCCCACCATCCTGGCTTCATCCTCTCCAGCCTAAAGCTGCTGATGGTGGCCACAGAGCTGGAACATTCCCCAAGGCTCAAGCTGGCATTTGAGACCCTGGGTTGTTGGCCTTGCCTCTTGGGACCCCCCACCCCCCAACACACCTGCTCCAGCTGCAGCATCCACGGAGCACGCTGAGTACAACGGCCTCTGGCCATGCTGTGCCCTGGTGTGCTTGCCTGCCTTCCCTTTAGGGCACAGCTGGGTCCACCTGCCTGGAGAGCCCTCACCCTGCCCCCGTTGCTGCCCCCGCTTGGCTCTTCTCCACATCCCCTGTATGCAGCACTCTGTCAGGTGCACACTAGCCAAGTTAGGGGCACCTATATGCTGTCCTCTGGTTCCTCCCACTGAGCCTGGCCCCAGAGGCCTTGGTGCCATCCGGGCTGGTCAGAGGCTCCACACAGAGCAGGCCTGGGATCGTTTCAGAAGCTGGCTGCAGTCCTGGGAGACCCCTGTCCTCTTTCTGGTCCCACTCTGGAGGTTGAGCTATCCAGGGTGGAAGCTGGGAGAGGACCTTAGGGGCCCCCGGGGTGGGGGCGGAGAGGACTGCCAGAAGGAGGTAGCCCCCCAGAGGCTGCAGTCTGGGCCGTCTTCTATATCTCCTGCCTCCCAGACTGGTGGCTTCTCCTTCCCCTGGAGCAAGGGCCCTCCAGGCACCACCCTGTTTCTCCCCCACCCAAGTCCCTCTGTGGGTCACCACCTCTCTGCCCACCTCTTCCCTCATCTCTTGTCCTGCCCTTTGGTGAGAAGAGAATGTGAAAAGCCTTCCATGAGACACCTTGTTGAGTGTGGGGCAGTGCCTGGGTCCTCATTGGGTGTGGGGTGGTGCCTGGGTCCTCATTGGGCGTGAGGTGGTGCCTGGGTCCTCATTGGGTGTGAGGTGGTGCAGGGGACTCAGGAAGAACCTTTCCTTTCCTGGGACTGAGGCCAGCTGCACAACCCGCAGGGCCTAGTGCCCAGTGGAAACGTGGGCCTGCTGTCCAAAGGCTATGAACTTTAGGAGGGCGACACAGGCCTGCAAGGCTGCCGGGGCCGGGGGCAGCAGCCAGGACGCCAGCCCTAGCCGGGACGCCAGCCCTGCCCGGGACCCTCAGTTCCAGGGGACCGCTGTCCATAGCTCACCACTGGGGCTTCTTCCTGGAGAAGGAAGGCAGTGGCAGACCGGCTCCGTGGTCAGCGTGTGCTCCACTTTTCTAGAAACCCAGACACCACAAATTTGGACGAACAGCTGTGACAGCCAGTGTTTGAATCCACTGAGAGAAGATGAGGCCACTGCCCCTGAGTGGGGTGCAGGGCTTAGAGTTACCCCAGCTCAGGCCTGTCTCCTCCACCCTGTGGGACCTCAGACCCATCACTGCAGTGCTCAGGACCTCAGTTTTTTTATTTGGACATGGAAGACACGAACAGCTCTGCTGGTGGCGGGACACGGTTGTGACCAGCTTGGGGGAAGAAGAGGCCCCAAGGGCCTTTCTGTCCTCCAAGATTGCATGGGCAGTGAGGAGAGCCTGCAGGGGGCACAGGGTGGGCTGTGCTCCCAGCAGCCCCTCCAGCTTTTCCCCCTCCTTCTTCATGTAAGCTCTTTCCTTGACAGACCTTGCTCCTCACAGCCCTCTCTGGTCATATTTATTTTATTCTATGGCTTTGATCTGTAAAATGTCTGGAAAATCCTTTCTCAGAAGGTGCTGGCTTCTGCCTCTCTCGTTAGTAGTAAAATTCGGTGTGTAAGCATTTCATGGACTCTTGGTACATTTTTTATTACGGAGGCCCATTGGCTGTGGATCGGTGGCTTGGCTTATCTCTCCTGGGTCTCAGGAAGGCCTAGGAGACAAGAGAGGGTCCAAACCCTCTTGGGAACCCTTGTCCAGAAATGGTGCCATTGTGCCTGGTGCCACGTTGCCCAGTGCCACAGGCCCAGCAGGGAGGTAGAGGCAGCTGGGGCCGGGGAGAGTCTAGGCTGTGCCTAATCCCAGGTCTCCAGCCCGTCTGCACACAGTAAGGATGGTGAGCATGAAGTAGGTGCCAATGGCAAGTCCCCAGGGCCTGGGAAGACATTCCTCTTCCTTCTCTCTGTGGCTCCCACACCCGCGTCCCGGCCCCTGATCGGCAGGGTGGGTGGAGCACAGGAGGTGTTCCCAGCTCCCCTGTGGTGCTCGGTCCTGAGGGGTTCAGAAGCCCCGAGCTCTGGGCCTGCCTGGCCACTGCTCCTTCCACAGCTCACAAAGAGCCTTTTTGGACCTGCAGCACCCACGCTGTCAGGAGCACCAGGAAGTGAGGACCACGCGCTCCTGTGGTGCGGCTGAGGCTGACAGGTGAGACCCAGTGTGTGTGAGACGCAAGACGCACCTGTCTCCATGTCGGCCTCGTCTCCCCTTAGAACAGAGATGGGGATGCTGCTGAGGTGATGTGGGCTTGGGCTGGCTCTGGTGGCTATGTGTTTCCACGTGTGGAACTCGGAGCCACTATGGTCTCGGTGGAAACCTGCCCCAAAGCCGGAGTGATCCCCTTGTCTCCCAAGTCCAGACACAATATGTGACACCCAGCTGTTAAAGACACTAACACTGGGCCACAGAGGATGGGGACCCCCGAGGGCTGGAGTTCACCGGCTCAAGGGAGTTTCCAGGCCGTGGCACAGGGAGGGGAAACCGAGGAAGGGCCTGCAGGAGATGTCAGTCAGTAATAAAATTCAAAGGCCCCCCAAGCATCTGTGTGGACTTGCTCCTTGGCTGGGGTGCTGCTCTATCATTTAACCTGAAAGACTGGTTCAGGCCATGTCAGGAAGTGGGGGACTCTGTTGCATGCTGCGTCCCATGCTGCACAAGGGTTCAAAGACCTAAGAGGGAATGGTGGTGGATAAAGAAAAATACAAAGACAAACATAACATAGCATAACATAACATAATAAAACATAACATAATAAAACATAACATAATAAAACATAACATAACATATAACATAACATAACATAACATAACATAACATAACATAACATAACATAACATAACATAACATAACAAACAACTTAAAACACATAGAAAAAGCTGGGCCAGGCGGTCCAGGAAAGTGAGGATGTCAGTTTCTCCGGGCCAGACCTGTCTCAGAGGACTTTATTTTACATGTTCACAAAGCACGTAGCAGAGGGAGGGTGCAGTTACCCAGAACAGCCCGTGGTTTTAATTCTCTCACACACTTCAGCTGACAACTGTCTTGAGGCAAGGTCAGTGAAAGCTGGTTATCTTTCTCTAGGTCCGTCTGCTCTTCTCCCAGCCATACACATTCCCCTGTTATGGTTTCGCTTCTCTGGAGTTCACCCAAAGTTCACAGCAGCCTTGCTGCTGATCCCCCCAGAGCGAGTGGGCTACCCTGGCTCTCTGCAGGGGTCCGACATGCCTTCTCACACCCGCCAGCCTGAACCTCAACACAGACCTCAAGTCTGATAAGAAGACTTTACAATCTATTCTCCAGAGCCTGCTACCTGAAGGCTTCACCTGCATCATAAAACTTTGGTCTCCACGGCCTCCTATCGAAACCCAGACATTCCTTTCTATTGATAACTCTTTCAACCAATTGCCAATTAGAAAAATTTGAAAACTACCTGTAACTTGAAACCCTGCCCCCCTGCCCCCCAACGTTCCCCCTTCGAGTTGTCCCACTTTTTGGGACCAAACCAATGTATGTCATAAATGCATTTGACTGATGTCTCGCATTTCCCTGAAATGTACAAAACAACAAGCTGCACCCCAGCCACCTGCGGCCACGTTCTTAGGGCCTCCCGAGGGCTGTGTCATGGGCCACGGTCACTCACATTGGGCTCAGAATAAATCTCTTAAAATATCTTATAGAGTTTGACTCTTTTTGTCAACAAGGAAGAGGACCTAAGGGTCTGGGAATACAGGGCACTGGGGTTCACAAGGCACAGAGTGCTGGAGGGGAGAGAGCTGCAGGGAAGAGGAGGCGCCGGGGGAGGCTTAGGGAGGGAGGAAGGAATCCTCTGATCGTGTTAGCTGTGCTCAGGGTTGAGCCAAGCTGGGAGCAGTGCTTGCTCCTTCCGGCCAGATGGGAAAACCCCATGACGCATGAGTCTCTGCGTAGAGTTCTCAGAAGGGTCTTGCCTCTGTGCCGAGGAGTCATGAAACCTAGATTAGATGTGATTCTGGTCCCTCGCGATAAAGCTTAAAAGCAAGACCTGAAAGGATCAAGCTCTTTCAAAATAAACTCATCTCCAAGCTCAAGTATATTTATATAAATACAAAAATATTCAGCACTCACTAAAGTGGACTTGACAGTCTTGGGCATTTGATTAAAAATTCAGCAAAAAGCCAGGAAAATATAACACACAAGGAGAAGAGAAATCACCAACTGAGAACTCACACAGATGTCAAAATCAGCAAAGATATTGAAACAATGGTTAGAACTGTGAGAGCTGGAGGGAGGGCTGAAAACACCAAAGTCAACTTCCAGAGAGAGAACGACAGGGTCTGAGATGAAAAATACAGTGGATGGCATTAAATGTGGCAGACACAAAGATTAGTGAATCAAAGATAGCAAAAGACGATAATGCCAGGAGGCAGCTAAATGCCCAGCAGAGGGGGTGGGTTCCTGGTGAAACCCCATCTCCAAGCCGAAGACAGTTTAAAACCTGAAAGGCAAGCTGCAAGTTTAATCCATGGACTGGATTGAGAACTTGTTTTCCTGTTTGACTTGCTTTCCTCTGATTGGTCCCCACCCTTCACCTATTTTACAGATGCTTACCCTTTCCTAATTGGCTTTCTACACTGCTGTGCCCATCTTTGGGTGGTGTCTTCGCTTTAACCCTTTTTGGATACTCACAAACCAATCAGAATACACTCCTCATTCTGCGTCCATAAAAGGTCCTTTCCTGCCTTTGGGTAGGGAGGACTTTCCTGCCTTTGGGTAGGGAGACCACCCCCGTGTCCCCTTTCTGCTGAAAGCTCTTTCATCACTCAGTGAAACTCCCTGTCTTGCTCATCCTTTGACTGTCAACGCATCCTCATTCTTCTTGGGTGTGGGACAAGAACCTGGGAACCTGTGCACAAGCCAGACCTGGCCAGGTGGGCTAAGTGGGTGGGCTGTCTCCTGCAGCAGGTAGTGTGGCTGAGCGAGGCCTGGGTGAGCATCACCAACCGGAGGTCTCCAGCTTGCAAAGTGACCAGGGAAAAAAACCCTCTGCAAAAAAAAAAAAACACCTGAAATGTGTTGATGAATAGAGTCAAACTCTGAAATGTATTTGAAGACATTTATTCTGAGCCGAATGTGAATGACCACGGCTGGTGACACGGGCCTCAGGAGGTCCTGAGAACATGTGCCCAAGGTACCACATTGGTTTGGTCCGGAAAGACAGGACAACTCAAAAGGTGATGCTTACAAGTTATACGTAGATTTAAAAATTTTCTGATTGCCAACTGGATGGAAGAGTTTTTATCTATCAAGAGGAATGTCTGGGTTATGATAAGAGGTTGTGGAGACCAAAGTTTCATCACGCAGTTGAGGCCTCCAGGCAGCAGGCTCTGGAGGGAACAGATCCTAAATGCTTTTTCTCAGACTTAAGGTCTGTGCTGATGGTGCTGGAGGGTATAACGAAAAAAGCCCGACCACCACTTCCCGTCCAGGGTCAAGGCCTGAACCCATCTTTCAGGTTAAATTTTGGAGTGTCTGGGCCAAGGAGGCAGTCCATTCAGATTGTTGGGGGGGCCTTATAATGTTATTTTTGGTTCATAAATGAAACTTGGAGAGAAAAAACCCTCAAACATTTGAACAGCTCATCAGAATCGGAGCAGCCTAAGATCGGCTCCACTGCAGTCCCTGAGAGAGAAGAGAGGAGTGCATAAAACATCTGCAGAAATGATGGCTGATGAATTTCCAGATTTGATAAAACCACAGAGCCAGGGATCTGGGAAGCTCAATGAACCCCAAGCAGAAGAAGCACACAAAAAAATCTGCAAAAAAAACATGATCATCAAATTGCCAAAACCAGTGACACAGAGGAAGTGTTAAGAAGGGCCAGAGAAAAGGATGCATGACACTCCAAGGAACAAGGACCGTGGCAGATTTTCCAGCCAAGGCAAGCGACGGGACAGAGGAGCAAGATCTTCACACAGAAAGAAACACAGACACAACGGACCTGTCAATCTGGGGTCCATGCCCCATAAAAACACCTGTATTATTTCTTTTTAATTTTTGAGATGGAGACTCACTTTGTTGCCCAGACAGTAGTGCAGTGGTGTGGCCTCGGCTCACTGCAACCTCCGCCTCCTGGGTTCAAGCGATTCTCCTGTCTCAGCCTCCTGAGTAGTAGGAATTACAGGTGCACACCACCACTCCCAACTAATTTTGGTATTTTTAGTAAAAACGGGGTTTCTTCACTTTGGTCAGACTGGTCTCGAACTCCTGACATCAGGTGATCCACCTGTCTCAGCCTCCCAAAGTGCTGGGATTACAGGAGTGAGCCACCACACCTGGCCCAAAACACCTTTCAAAACTGAAGGGGAAATAGACTTTTCAGACATTCGAAGCTGAAAGAATTAATTGCCAGTCACCCGAATGGCAAGGAATATTAAGTGATATCATTCAGGAAAGTGGAAAATATTCTTATATTCTTATATTTAAGACCTATTTTTGGCCAGGTCAGGAGTTCCAGTCTAGCCTGGCCAATATAGGAAATCCCGTCTCTACTACAAATACAAAAATTAGTCGGGAGTGGTGGCACCTGCCTGTAATCCCAGGCACTTGGGTGGCTGAGACAGAATTGCTTG